CATCTTATGTCTATTGATGAATAAAATGTGGTGCATACATACTATAGAATATTATTCAGCCTTGAAAAGAAAAGAAATTCTGACACACACTACAAAATGAATTAACCTGTAGGATATTAGGTTAAGTGTAATAAGCCAGGCACAAAAGGACAACTACTGTGTGATTTCACTTGAAAAAGAATACACCTTTAAACCTGGGAAAAAATGAGATACTGCAAGATTTCTCATTTTGGCAAAATTCATAAAACTGAATGGCATTTGGATTATTTTGTACTAAATATTCTATGACTGATTTATTCAAGATTTAGATGTTCATGGATTTAGACAATTCTCCACAGTGTAACTGTGGAACTCAAGGTCTGCATTCATGCTCTCTCTGGAAGCAAGGGGGCCAGATTTGAACAAATTGGTAAAAGCAAGCAAATTAAATTCTGTGATTAAAAAAAAATTATAATACATCATGTTCCCTGAAACTTTCTTACTTGAGAATTCATCATTAGCATATTTCTTGGCCAATAAGCATTATTTTATTGTTTTAGGTTTTTTTAATATCAGCATTCTATTGTGGAGTGCAGGTCAGTCACATTGTATTTGGGCATTCTTCGTTGGAAATTTTTGTGTTTGTATGTTTTTATTTCTTTTGCAACTCTAAAAAATGCTGGAATAAGTAGCCTTCTACATATAACAGGATATAGTATTGCTTTTCATTTCTAAAATAAACAATAAGGATTTTTCACATCCTAATAAATGTTTCATTATTGTGCATAGTAATTTGAAAAAAAAATACTGAGAAAAGGTTAAGCATTGAAACCTTTTTTCCATGTAGTATTTTTTCTTTTTTTCAATTTTCCAAGAAAGGATACTAACATTTACTGACTTATCTTTTTCACTGTGTGATGATAAACCTTCAAAATGGCAATGATACATGAGCAAGTTCATTAAGGTAAGTCCAGAGTGCCACAGAGGAGATTCAGGAGCATCTGATTGAACTCCTAGAGGGAGATCTAGTTAAGGAACCATCCCAGGTGGCATCTTCCGTAAAGATGTAAAAGGCAGCTCGGGGATCCTAGAGTCATCAGTGCCTCAGAGTTGGGGTCTCAAAGGTTTATACAGCCTGTAAACTCCCACTGCCACAGCCACACAGAGATTCTCACTTGAAGCTGACACAGACTCTCCATTACAGGTGGGTAGAAAATATGTATCTTATTTTTCTATAATGGCCTTTAAGAGATCCCAACTATTCCTCAAACTGATCCACTCAACTTTCATTTTCAAAAGAACTGGACGTTGTATACAATCAAATAATACACTATTAAAAGTAAGGCTTGTTTCCAATATTTACAACATGTTTAGAATACAAGGTTTTGAATATCATCCAGCTATTTATGTTTCCAAATGAAAGCTAACATTATTACATCTTATGTACTTTAATTATATCACTACTGAAGCAATGGAATTTTGCTGTCATTGCCCCTAAAATGCTGATCAAAGTTTTGTTTCTCTAGCCTTTCTTCCATTCAATACAAGAGACATCAGATGAATCATGGCTTCAAATGTTTGTTTGCAAAGTAATAACATCCTCATAATTTAATAAGATTGTAGGGAGTAAATCCTCAAAAATGTATAATGATGGATCATCTGTTTAAATTGCTGGACTTTTTCTCTCTCTCAAATGATTGAAATGTTTACTTATTAGATCTAGAAACTTTAATAACTGTGTTAGAATCACACAGGATTACAGGAAATCTCACCTAAGAAATTGCCTTTGCCATCAAATGGCAGTCCCTTAACCTTTCTAACCACTTCTTTTTTCCTCAAACAGATGAATTTCCAAACTCATTCATGGCTCCTGAAAACTTCACCTGGGTCACTGAGTTTGTCCTCACAGGTGTCTCGGGCAGGCCAGACCTCCAGATTCCACTCTTCTTTGTTTTCCTGGTCATCTACGGGCTGACCGTGGCTGGGAACCTGAGCATCATCACTCTCACCAGTGTTGACTCTCAACTTCAGACCCCCATGTACTTTTTCCTCCGGCACTTGGCTATCATCAATCTTGGCAACTCTACTGTCATTGCCCCTAAAATGCTGATCAACTTTTTAGTAAGAAAGAAAACCATCACCTACTATGAATGTGCCACCCAACTGGGAGGGTTTTTGGTTTTCATTGTAGCTGAGGTTTCCATGTTAGCCGTGATGGCCTACGACCGCTATGTGGCCATTTGTAATCCCCTGCTCTACATGGTGGTTTTATCTCGCCAGATCTGCCTTCTGCTGGTATCACTCACTTATGCCTATAGCTTTTCCACAGCTATTGTGACGTCATCTTCTGTATTCTCTATGTCTTACTGCTCTTCCAATGTGATCAATCACTTTTACTGTGATACTGTCCCTCTGTTAGCCTTGTCCTGCTCTGATACTTACTTCCCAGAAACAGTCATTTTTGTATCTGCAGCTACAAATTTGGTTTGTTCCATGACTATAGTTCTAGTATCATATTTCAACATTGTTCTATCCATTTTAAGGATACGTTCATCAGAAGGAAGGATAAAAGCCTTTTCCACATGTGCTTCCCATATGACAGCTGTCACAGTTTTCTATGGGACACTATTATTCATGTATTTGCAGCCTCGAACCAGCCATTCACTGGACACTGATAAAATGGCTTCTGTGTTTTACACACTTGTGATCCCCATGCTGAATCCCATGATCTATAGCCTGAGGAATAAGGATGTGAAAGCTGCCTTAAAGAGATTGCTGACAAATGTATTCTGTTCTTTTAAATCCATGTGATTTTAGAGCTCTGTCAGTGAGTGAAGAGATGGGTAAGATAGGCTGCCACTGTGTCAGAGACAGTAAAGGTCAGGGCTAACTCACAGGTTTCCAAGTAATCCTTGGAGTTAAAAGGGAGCAAGATTTAGGAGTTAAAAAATAAACTAAAGGTCTTATTGTTATGTGGTTAATACAGAAGGTAGGTGTTATTCACTAACTTTGCTAAGGATTATGCAGGTATGAAGAAATAAATACTTCTGCGAGTCAGGAGAAAAATAAGAAAATAAATAAGTTAAAATCGAGCAATGAAATGTGGATTAGATAAGCAAGTCATTCAATCTTATTTTTTTGCTTTTTTTAATTCCTGGATATCTTTGGGTAAAACAGATTGTTTCATCTTGAAGAATTGTAATGAAAGATGGCTAAAATCCTTTTAATAACTAAGTTAACAAAATTAAACTAACAAGTATATCTAAAATAAAACTTCTTAACTCTTTCTTAATATCATTCGAATAAAAAAATATAAACCACTGGTGAGTTTACGGACCTGGAGATTATTATGCTAAGTGAAGCAAACCATTCAGAGAAAGACAAATACCATGTGATCTCACTTACATGTGGGATCTGATGAACAAAATAAACCAATGAACAAAAGAGAAACAGAGGCATGAATCATGGAACAGACTGACATTTGTCAGAGGGGAGGGGGCTTGGGCATGGCTGGAGGAAAGAAGGAGAAGGGGTTAAACAAATAAACAAACTATATATAAATTATATATATGGAACAGTGTGTGATAGCCAGAGGGAAAGGGGTTTGGGAGGGCTGGTGAAGGTGGACAAAAAGTGGGGGAAACGTGGAAGGAAAGAAACGCTGCTTGGAGAGATTGATGCACGTTGCAGTGTGCAGATGATATGTTGCTGAGTTGTACACTTGAGACCTGTATAGTTTTGTGAACCAATGTCACACCAGTAAATTCAACTAAAAAAGAATAAGATTATGATCCACGAGAAAACAAAGTTGAAACCATTTCTAAACTGGAGTCAAATGTCATCACAATTCCTAAAATAGAAAGATAGCAAAAAAAAAGCTAAGAATGAATAAGTTTTATATCATCTACTAGGACCACTGTTTTGAGACAAAGAGTTCATTATTATAACGAAATATTTGTGTAATTGAAAACTACGGGCAAATTTTAAATTCTTGGTAGTATATAAAAACAGAAATCCACCCCTTTCCCCCGCGACACACACTACTTTGATGATATATTTCTTATTCATCATCTAGTTCAGAGCAATTAAGATACCAGCTAAGACACAAAACGTTTACCAAATGTCTTGTGCATACACTATTGAGAGGGCGCGGTCCTTGAAAGAATTCGATACACAGTTTACTGAAAAGTATTTGTCAAAAAATTTTAAAAGCAATTCCTACCGGCTTTTAAAAGCGAAATTTGAAGACTGACACTAGTAATCTACAGCAAAAGTAATGTTTAAAAATAAGTATAGCATTTTAAGAGTTAGAACTTTAGATCAGTAATATTATACTAAAGGCAGAGCCGTACATACACAGTTCTTCAAAAACGAGAAATCACATAAACAATTCTTCATTCCTCCTCAGCATCCCAGGTGAGCATGGACTGTAATTTTTCTTATAATTTGCTTGCATCATGCTTTGAGGTAAAATCCTTTGGGACATAGAAACTGACAAAACCATGCAATCATCTGCTACCCAGACCCTATTTGTGAGGATAAATAAGAGCACCATCTAATCCAGGTAGGTTAGCAATTATATTTTAAAATTGTGTCTTTGACTCCTCGATGTGTAATGACATTGCTACAGTAGCTCAAGATAAAAATTAAAGACTAAATACAATGGACTAGAATAAAAAATTTTGGAATACATTTTGTAAAATAAAGATAAATGTTTTTTTCTGATTGTATTCATTTTGATGGAAGTATCAAGATCATTTATGTAGGTTTGAAATGGACAACAACTAAAGGACCAGAAGGAAGTGAACAGACAGCCTAGTTGAATCACTTTTTTTACATACTTAGATGAGTAAGTTGAGTTTCAATATGTTCAAGTGATTTTCCTCAACTCGTGTAGTTAATTAAAGTCAGAATCAGGTCTGTAAGGTAAGGTTGAATAAGCACTATGCTTTCATACATTTAGGATTTGTGGAAATCCTACATGTACTTATACTCCTTTTTTTTTTGCATGTTCTCTGCTAAAAACCATCTTTTCCTTAACTGTTTCCTTATTGTTTTTTATATTTACCCAGGGAAACATTATCTCCACTACCTCCCCTTAAAGTTTTCAAGTAACAGGGCCTCCTCTCATATGTTATTTTGTATCCAGCACTTAATTCTATTAGATTATTTTAACTCACTTTTCTCAATCTGCTTGATTTCCATCTTTCTGATTTTATACTCTATGCTTCTTGATGGATAACTCTGACCATTATTTGTTATGACTTCAAAACCCAGAAAGATATATAATACATAATAGGCAATCAATTAAGATATTTTAATTCACAGAAATTGCAAATTTATATACTGACACACACATATATACACACACACACACACATATATATCACCAATATAACAACTATCGCTTTCTATACCTCTTTACCTAATAGATGTTATCTAATACATATATATATGTATATATATATATGTATTAGATAACAATATTAGATAAAGGTCACCATGATCTTCCTAGAGATATTTTCCAAAACAAAAAATATAACTTAAGAATAAGGGGAAAATATTCAAACATTATTATTATTATTATTGTAATCTTACATTAATAAAAAATTAATATTTTATTCCATATTAACTACCATCTAGAAGAGACTGTAATAGTAAATGGGAAAAAACAAAGAGGCAGCATGGCTCTCAATCATAAAGTGTCTATGTATATCAGGGGAAGAGGAATGAAACAGATGGCTGTTATAAATGTGAGAAGAAATATAAGGGAAGTATGTCTAAAGTGATTCTAGAACACAAATATGAAATATGGTGACTCAATGTGGGAAATGGCTCTTCAATGAAGAGGCAATATTCCCACAGGTTTTGAAGGATAAATAGAATTTTCCCTTCAACTATCCTTTTTGTTTGTAGGGAAGGGGACTAGGAATGGCAAGGGAAAAAAGTAGAGAAGCATGGAGGGAATATTGTTATTGACAAATGAAGACTAGTTATATTAATGATACCAATGGATGTCCATAGTTGTTAGAACACTTGAGTGGACTTGGGATTATAAAAATTTTTAGGGACAAGATTGTCCCTAAAAAGTCAGATATGCTTTTCAAATGTAATTCATATTTTATTTTTTATGAAGTAAAATGGTTTGTATGTACAAATGTCAGAGTTTTATTTTGTCTTTTTGTTTTGAAAGGAAGGGAAAAAAATGAGAGGAAAAGAGACCAGAAAAATAAAGAAAATTTGGATAAAGCTTTCATTCTTTGTAGTCTACTATATTGTCTGTTTTTTCAATGCTCTATCTTCAGACTCAATTGTCTGGAAATTAGTAGTTCCCAACATATATTATTAAATGAGGGAATGAGTGGATTGAAATAGATGCCAAAAGAAATAACAATTAGACATCATCAAGACATAGGATAAAGACAGAATATGCAGATCAGGGTGGGAAGTGTCTCTTGGAGCTGTTCATAGATAAATTGTGAATCTACTTTTATGTTGGCGAAAATGGTGATGGTCTTCTGTTGATAAGTTTAGCTTTTGAAACTGTGTTTGTCACTACTGGTAGATCATGAACTCGGTTTTTAGAATCTTGATCAGAATTATTTTATTTAAATAAAATAGAGCAGATTGCAGTAGAGTACAAAAGAACATGCAAGAAAAGTGCATGCCAGGTAATGAGAGTATTATTATGGATGTATTACGAGCTCTGTGCTTTCAGACTCTGTTTTTGCCACAGAGCACAAAAAGTTTATAAATCAGCTTTTAAAGAGACATACATTTCTGAATTTCTTAGAAAGAAAACATCAATTTTATTCTAAATTAAAATATATCATAAAATTATGTAAGGATGTATTCTCTTTGGTCATGTAAGTTTATCTTTTAGAGATAAAGATGTTTGTTCACTACTATAGCAATCAAACCTAGAAATAATTTAAGTTTCTAATAACAGAATAAATAAGATATGCAATATTGACAGTATAGTAATGAGGTGTGGATGTTGAGTCAGAAACATATGGATTTGAAACCCAACTAACTGTATTTACAGCAGCCATCTGATTTTGTTTTGGGTGTTCCTTTTCCAATCTCCTCTTCCTCATCTGTACAATGGAAATAATAATGTGGTTTCGACTTAAAGTTCTGTGGGATAAAATGATGTAAATAATTGCCTTATTGCACCTTCTGTACTTACCCGTTTTAGTATTTTCATTATTAGCATGACTATAAATATTATTTTTCAGACTGTAACATTAAAGTGATAAATTATTACAACTATATATATAATTGTGTATATATGTACATATATATATGTATATATACACACACACAATTATATATATAATGTTTCTGAAAGTGTTAGGACAATGTGGAGCTGTGCTGGCACAGGTACAATGACATCTGTCACAGTGGTGTCACTGCAGATGTGTTTTCTTTTATGCTATTTATGTCAACATGTTTTCAATAAAAACTCAATTTTAACAAGGCAGCTTAGAGTGTTAAATAGCTTAATGGATAAGACCTTTGAATAGAAACCAAGGCAAGGCGGACTATTGCATAGCACCCATCTTTGTATGTATACTGGGTTTGGGAGAGGAGACACATGCTTGTCCCACATATACCTCTGTCTGCCATCCATCCTGTTCCCAATACCCCAGTATGCTAGCCGTCTCTATTAGCAACAAAACCTCTTTACAAGACACTAAAGTAAATCACCACTTGTGGGAATGGTAACTTCAATTTTCCTCTTTTCTCTACTTCCTCATGCAGATGCCTTGAAGAGATATGGCCCATATTAATTGCACCCAAGTACAGGA